AAAAAAAAAAAAAAAAAATTGACATTCATTAATTCTGATGGAATTATTGAATGTTCTGCTGAGTTTTTACATGTGAACCTTCATACAAAAATCTACCAGTGTATAGCCAGCTTTAGTAACAGAGGAGGTGAGCGGTGATAATAATAAAAAACGGTTTCTCTTATTACTGGGAAAAAGTATGAAAGGTACAGGTTTGGCAATACAGAGGTGAGTTATTAACATGCTACACTCACTTTCTCTTCTTCCTTAGGCCACCCTATTATGTGGAAGTCATCATGCTACAACACACACTGGAAACATTCCTTACTGGGACATTTTAACTTAATGCCTCCACCAGTGTCTACCCAATACTAAAATAACAGTTGTCTGGAGATAGTCCAAACAGTGGTCCATGCTCAGGACAAAAAGAAAGAACAGTGGGGCAAACCATATAAACAAGAAACATGGCTGCAGCTGTAGAGCAGACACAGTAGTACCTCTGTACCTGGAGTTTGGAAGACATGTTTTTCTTATTATAAATAGGGGTTCTTTTGATACATGATGAAGGTTTGGGGTTGCCAAGACTTCTACCGAATAGCGATTTTCCTTGAATTCTCTGGATATCCTCAAAATATCCTGTGTGGAAGCTGAAACATAAAAATTGTCCTTGCCTCAGGCTGCTCCTACTCCCATGTGGAGGAATGTATAGTGCAGCATATAAGGCCATACATGTTCCACTGGATAATACTGCCCTCAAGTGGAAGCAAATCAAATATTCAATAATAAATATCAATTTTCTTCCAAAAATACACACAAAAAACAACATTTAAATTAAATCTGAACCCAATCATTAGAATCTCATATGAGCCTTAACATGTTAGTCCATTTATATATTTTTAAACATGTAACTTTCAGTAAAAGAATACTTGGTTCATTCCCTCATTAAAGTGTATGTAAACCTTAACAATGAACTTCTCTTATTTGCTCCCCTTTGGTCTGTTTAACATATCATAGGAAGCATTTAGTTGTATCCATCTGTTTAATAGGTGCACAAAAAGCTGTCCCGAGTCCCCTGCACACTTCCTGTGTGCTCTCAAAAAGCTCTCCTCAACTTGGTATACAGAATGATTAGGCTTATGTTATAGAGATCAGAGATTGGTAGTCGTTGAGTAGTTTAGCAAAAGACAACTGGGAGGGCTGACAACACCCAGTCCACAAAAATATGTGTTGTCTACAACACGACTTCAGTGCTAGTGCTTTTCTGGCAGATCATCAGGTATTTTAATGGATAAGGCACAGTGAAATGTGAATATATTGCAGAGCTGTACTGCATATGTTTTTATTTTACATACACTTTAAAGAGAGTCACCTTGACCATGCAAATCTACAGTAAGTGACAGTGTCTCTGCAAAGAGCCCCACCGACCCCCTTATACTTGCCTTATCAGCACTTTTTGCTACTTCTTCCTCTCCATAGCCAATGACAGTGTTTGGGTCTAGCAGCCAATCGCTAGGCTTCTAGCACTGTCACATCAATGGGGAAAGTGACAATGCTACTCCCCCAGTTCATGGACACCAGCCACTTCAGTGTCAGTTGCCGAGGAGAAAGGAGCAGTGAGGGAACATTGGTGGGGTAAGGATTCGGAGAAGGGGGGTGAAATGGGGAGTCCCTTTGCAAAGAAACGACACCCTGCAGAGTGACTGTGTCTCTTTAAGGTCCATGTTTGAGCACTTAATAACATGAGGTGAGAACTGCCTCCCAATTTTGCTTCTTCGTGGTCACCTTGTTACATATATTTCTGGTGAAGACTAAAACTAACCCATCCGTAACACATCGTGAAACCTTTGCTTAGATGTCAATTCTGGTAAGTAAAGGAGCCCTAAGGCCCCTTTCACACTATTTGATTAGAAGGAGATCCAAGCTCTGATTCCCTACTGATTGGAAAGGATATCACTGTTGTGACATCTATGCCCATACAGTTTTTTTCCTGCAAAAAATTAAATTACTGGACCCATCTTGTTCTACGGGGAATAGGATGCAAATGGACTTGTGTCTGTTTACATCAGATTACCCCCGATCCGGCATGATCAGGTCTGACGAAATGGAACTCTGATCCGTTTGTTTTTCCCGGACTTGGCTAGAGCCCTGGGTAACTGGATGTAAACAGACACCGTCAGACTAACATTGGGCTTCTGATCAGGTCCACTTAAAAGACTGACAGGCAGACCTGATCAGAAAGCCCTTTGTAAAAGGACTCTAAGGCTGGATACAGATTTGATTTTTTCTTTTTTGTAAGCACCAACCAAACGCTATATGTTGTGAATTTCCAGTTTGCAAATTTTTACTGAAATTATGTTACCCCTCAAAGGATTTGTAATGATTTCCAGTCACCCCTGCCAGCCATCCCATGCAGATCCTCCACTAAAGAAGCATCACAACTTGGTCTAGAGCTTACCCGCAGCCTAATGTTAGGACAATGAGGGAGCGACAACCACAAAACGGTAAATCATAACTCTGCTCTCTCCTCCTGCAAGGAGCACTGTGGTATAGCCTGACTGGCTCAAAGTAATAGGCCTCCCTCTCCCAGCTTGAATTGTACAATAGATTACAGAAGGCCAACAACAAGAATATATTACCATATCAACTGGGGTTATATCTGTCTGAAGTTTAACAAACTCTTACATTGTCAAATTATCACCGGCAAGCTGAAATGGTTACATTTTGCAGTAAATGGATAACACAGATCTGATCGTATTTGCAATTAAGAATAATAAAAGGAAATGTTAACATTGACTTAACTGTACATGGAAATTATACCATTTAGGTTTCCAGATTCCTATGCATTATAAACCATTGCCATTTCTTACTTTTGGAAAATAAAAGTTTTTACTATTCATGTATATTTAAAGGTGCACAAAAGAGAAGATAATCAGTCGTCAGTTTCTCCTGGTACTTTAGAAAGGGCAGTAAACTTTTTTTTTTCTTGATGGAGGGAGGAGAGGTGTGACATTTAAAAAGGAGAATTATGGGGTGAATGAAAAACACTCATCCCCATAATTCAAGCCGACCTGTGACACTGAAGCTGCCACAGGTCAGCTCTATTGATTGGGGAGTGAACACATACCGCCGATCGATGACTTCCCATTCCTCTCCCTGCAGAAAGCGGTGACTGTCAGTCACAGCTCCCCACAGGGATTCCACCCTCTTTCTTTCTCCAGCGCTGACTGGAAGAACAGATGAGGCGGGCATAGCCAGCTCTGCCTCTAGAGAGGCAGAGCCAGCTGTCAATCAGCCGGTGGGGGTGGATCTCAACAGTATTGTTGGGATCCGTCACGGCTGCTCTGCAGCACATTTGTTTTAAGAGTTCTCTAAAAAAAACAAAAAACCTCTATTTAACTCTCAATATAGGTATTTCAGCCAGGAAACATTTATTACAAAACCAGCCACATATATTCCCTATAATCTGGTCAGTTGATGTGTTCAGGGATAGTGACTGATTCCTTACTGAATGTAATTGTATCACATACGATTACATGCAGTGTGCTGATGTCCTGCTGTTTTCAAATGCAGTGGCTGTCGTCCATTCATTAACTTAAATAAGGTGTCAGCTGCCGCATGTAAACGGAAGATTAGGGATTCCTGCTGCAGGAAATTGCACGTTTCTGACGCAGGAATCCCTAATTACACTTTAAATATAGGGGTAAATTGAGCCTAATGCAGCAGGGAGAGATGTAATAGACATGATAATCCCAGCGTAGGGATACCTAGCTTCTATTTAGTTTAACGCTGTCCAAAATGTTTAGACTGCAGTCACTTGTAAGAAGTGCTATACACATTGATTCCAGCACATGTATTCTATTGAAAAACTGTGCAACACAGCAAATAAAAGCATACTCAAGGTTTATAACCATGCACATGGTGCACTGGTTTTTTAGTTACAGAGGAATTTTTATTTATGACAGGAATAAACTTTTTCTTAGTTTACATTATTATTCATGTAGTCATCATTATTAATAAGGAGGTCCACTGCAGTCTGGAACCAGTGTTCCTTTGATTATTTTGAATTTATCACTGTAGATTCTGTGATGATAGGCCTCCTCTTACTGTAACTTTAGAAAACTGTTCCAATTTAAGAACAAAATATAGCAGAGGGGAAGGAGACATTCAATTCTCCTTAGGACACTGGGCAGGTGCAAGGGGATATAGCCTCTAGGGGCTGGCCTTTAGTTTCTATGTGCCTAGTGTCCACTTCTCCTGTAGTATAAAGCTTGGTTGCTTATTATCCATAAAGCTGTCCCTCAATTGAAAATAGAGAAATACTGTAAATCCTTATATATATTACATTTAATATGATTAATGTGCTTGCTCATTTAGGATACTGCAGTTCAAGTGAGGGGCAAAGCATTTAGTCCAATAGAACACATCTGCTGGGATCAATATGTAAAATAGCACTTCCTCTTGCAAGAGACTGCAATCTAAACAATGCGCACAGCATTATGCCAAGCAGACGTTTGGTATCCCCATGCTGGGATTATGTTGTCTATAACATATTTCCTTGCTGTCTCATTCTGGTGGTTTTTTTTTGGCTGGATAGGATACCTGCTTTAATGGTGAATTTGTATACAAATAGATACATTCAATATGGATAACAGTGTGACGCCAGTCATCTATTTTTACAAAAATTGTTGACAGAACTAAATTATGTTCTTATTCAAAGTGTTGGGAAGTTTCTGCACCCACAGAACTCTGACAGTGCATCTGCACTTGTATTCATGAATATTATTTCTGCTGTAGCCTATACTGCTGGGATGGGACTTGCATTCTGTTCTGATGTTTGATTGCACATGGTTGGTTTTGTAATACATACCCATATTACAACGTTTGAGGGTGCAATAGATAACACTGTCCATTTTAATGCAGGCTTTATGGGTTTTGTTGAGTGATGGGATCATGATCATTTCTCATTTTATTCTTCAGGGCAAGTAATGAAGCATTTTTTAGTATACATTTATTCCTAATGATTTGTATAAAATTTGTTTTTTGTGTGTTGCTTTTTGGTTCAAATGAGCAAAATATGTACAAAATATTGCCATCAATGTACTGCTTTTAGTTGTTGTGTGTCTATAACAGCCCGGGATTACATGAAGTAGATACAATGTCAGGGGGGAGACTGCTTGGAAAGGATGAGCCTTGCATTAAAAAAAATTTTTTTATTTCTAAAAGGTACAAGGGAGTACAGAAAACCTCATTATAAAAACAGACTTATTGGCTTGTAGGAGATGGTTAAAAGACAGACACAGTAATGTAAAGGTCAGCAGGAGGAATCAGTGGTTGCTGTGTAGGACCCAGGAGACTAACACTACTGAATGCGTTGGCTTCCAAGCAGACTGGGCACACACCTTACAACCAGACTTTTGTCTTGCGATGGTTGTAAGGTACTTAAAAAAACGTACGATCTGCCTATGTTGCATAGGCAGATCGTACTCGCGCTGATCGCAAGCCACGCCCCCTGAGGGGCGGGCTTCCGATGGCCGCAATGCCGAACGGGCAGTGTGCGCTTGCGCACACCGGCCCGTACGGCTGTTATCGTACGGACATGCCACAAACCCGCCGAACGTCGTACGATGCTCGGCGGGTTTTCGAACATGTCCGTAAGTTTAAAGTCGTGCGACCTTACAGTAGTAGAGGTCGCATGGCTTCCACACACCTTAAGATCATCGTACGATCACGGGATTTCCCGCGATTATCGTACGATAATCGTAATGTGTGTGGGGCCCCTTAGGAGGATCATTTCACAGGAATAAAAGGGGTGTGCAGAGGTGTAGGGGGCAGGAGAGGCAAGTATGAACACTGCTCTTTTACAATGAGAGCTTGTCTGGGATAGTGTAATATGGGGGCAGGTCACTTTAATTATGTTCAACATCAGAAAATCACCTATGATCCAAGACATGAATCATTTGTATGTATTGGTGCCCATATCATTGCATATCACAAACAAAATCATCAGTCAATAAATCTGCATTCTCTGACCTCATCTAGCAGTGGATGTTCTTCAGCTAAAGGGTTGAAGGGTATGAAGAGGAGAAGAGCAGGGCCTTTCCTCAGCTCATTATTCAGTAGTAAACTTTTAGCACCATGAGGTCGCAACCAGTTCAGTAGTGTCTCTCGCCTCTCTAGTGCCCACTTGCAAATGTTTGCAGCTGTGAAGTTCATTTCTTTCTCTGGGTATACCTGCAGTAAAGTCAAAGCAATGAAATGAACAATCACTGAAATGGTTTTATTACATAAACAAGCTGAACAAGTCTAGTGAAAAACACACTTTAAACATTAATGGGCTAATGCCAACTCCAAAGTAAGAACAAAAACATAAAACTATCTTATAAATTCACAACCAAATAAGAATTTGTTAATTAGACAAAAAAAAAACAACAAAGTTTGTATTGTATGTCAATAAACCTAGAGCAGTAGTTTTCAACCTTTTTGCTTGGTTATCGAACGGAAGGTAATCCAGCAATGCCATATTTATACAGACATCTTTGATGACCCATGTGCTAATGTTTCAACTATACTGAAACCTATGTGTTAACATCTAGAGGATCGTGTTTAATAATTCATCCTCCATGTCTGTGAAGCTCATCTTAGCTGATAGCATACAACATACTAAAGATAGCTATAGGACTTTGGCACAGCCATAGTGTTACAGAGTTGATTTCAATGCTTCCAAAGCCTTATTAAAAACATTGTTCACACTGAAGTAGTATAAAACACTTTTTAAGCCAAACAACTAATGAAGGCTACACTTTAACCACATCCCTCTGAATTACTCATTTTAAAAAAGGGAACACTTTAATTGTTTAAGTATGAGCCAACCAGTGTGTTCTATCCACATGTTAAGTTTATGAATTGTTGAGTTGAGTATTTGTAACCATTAGTTTTCTGTGTGGTCCAGCAGGCAACAGTGTGATGCCAATCTGCCCTGTCACCACTGATGTTGCACGCAAATGTTAAGTATTAAAGCCCAATAAAATACTATTATAATATATGTATGAAGGTTAATTTATTAACTTGTATTTGTGGGAGGGGATTATGGCTATTTAAACCCCTCCTCTACCCTTTCCTGCATGACGTTGTAGGGGAAGCGTTTGTCTGTTGTGCAAGAGGAACCTGGATTCCACTTCTGGGTCGGGGCACGCTGCATGGGTCTATTGTCAGCATGCTGCAGCTTAATCCATCTCTTCTATACTCATTGCACTTTGCTCCTATCCATCTTAGGTAACAGTAAAATGTAAGAATAACCCATGATTGCATGGTTTCAGCAAGTAATCAACTTCAGGTAAGGTGCCTTTATTACAGTTCAGGTATCCTAAGGCCTTGTTCACACCAAGCGCATTCCAGGAGCAGAGCAGAGCCGAGCAGTTACAGACCGGAGCAAAACTGCGTCCAATGTATTCCAATGGTATTTTTAGCTCCAGTTCACATCGCAGCGTTCCGTTCCAGAGCAGGTAAAAAAACTGCAGCAGGCCCTGTTTTAACCGGTCTGGAACTCATGCAAACGCATCAAAAACGCATGCAAATGCCCTGAAACGCACTGAAAGCCCATTTTAAACTAAAAAAACCGCATCAAAGATGCGACAAAACCCACTGCACGGTGTGTGCAGAAACTCATGCAGATCTTCTCTGCATTTGGTGTGAACAAGGCCTAAAACAGGTTTCAGAGCAGATTCAGAGAACAGGTTTCTTGCTCTCTCTCTGTTTGACCTTTCCTAAGCCTGATTACAAGCACCTGTGTTCCCCTGCAAGCCAGTTAACCCTTCAAACATCTATGCCGACAGGTTTTACCTGACAATTGTATAATACATGTAGGAAGTGGCCATACACCTTACGGCCATTGTATAACTTTTTATTCAGACATCTCACCCTCGTTCAATTTTCTTACAACTAGCCCATCATGCACAAACCAATGTAGTTCGCAATTAACGCTTGTCAGCACCTCCACCTGGCTGATTTTCATCGATCGAAAGGACAGATGTTCGAGCATGTGCAGTTTTCATCTTGAGATTTTTGTTGTACAACAACACAACTAACCTGTCAATTTTTTCATCCAGTTAGACAAACATTTTCTAGGCTACTTGAAAAGACAAAAATCTGCCAGTTGTACAGTAATTGAGGTTGTTCACTTCCCATCAACTGGCAGATTTTCTGACAAATGCAATCGCAGACAAAAATCTCCAGATAATTGTAAGGTGTATGGGCACCTTTAGTCTTTACTTAATATGCACTCATTCACAGGTGTATCCATATTTTTCTATTGTGTTACATATGTTTCATAATCACTTGACCTGTATGATATTTAATCACATTATGACTTGAGTTTTGCTTTTTAATTGGTGACCCCTTTTTATCCTTCATCAGCCAGAAGTATACATTATTCTGCCCAAGATTTGCAACGCATATTATAGTTATGCTATGGCATTTTGGTTGCCACTCAACCTTCATAGAGTTAATAAGGCAGCATTGAGACTTTTGGCAAACTGCGCATGTGTATGAAAAAAAAACAAAACAGTTTATTGGCATCCGGTACTATGATATGCCATGCATTGTATTATGTCACAAGGTGCCATGCATTGTCTATCCTGCCATGTATGATGCCATGCGTTGTGGCCATCCTGCCATGTATGCCATGCCAACCTGCCACGTGTCCTGCCATGGATGATGCCATGCAATCCTGCCATGTGTTGTGATGAAATGTTTAAAGGTACATTTCTTTTCTCAGCGTACAGAGGCCTTGTCTGAGGCATAGTGCCCTCACTAAGACACCCGATGCCTCGTGTTATGTTCCCCCTGTCTCACTTCCAGGTACCCAGGCCTTGGGCAAGGTGTAGTGCCCTCACTCAGGCACCCGAGGCCTCATGTTGTGGCTTCCCCTGGCTCACTCCCAGGTACATCTCTCTCTGTGTTCCAAGGCCTTGTCCGAGGTCAAGTGCCCTCACTCAGGCACCCGATGCCTCATGTGTGTTCCTAATCGTTGGTTGTGGTCACCTTTTCCTCAATACCCATCTCTAGGTTTGTTTGCCTTCTCTAGTTGTAAATTTTGTGCAGTCTGTCCAAGCAGGTTTCATGAGATCCATCACTTGGGACTAAATTAAATTTAGTCATGACCACTAGTATTTTAGTAACACTTGTAGTATTTTTCTTATGTTATCATATCAAGTGTCCGCTTCCAAGTCTATATGTTTTCTATATGTTTTAGATAGGGAGGTGTCTTATTTAACCTGTGCTAGTCCACACATGGTGTAGCTGATGTATAAGTGTCTGTCTTGTGACTGCTTTTCAGTCCTCTGTCAGCGCAACTAAGGTTGCATGTGTGTAATGGTAACGTCCAGTTAGTCTTGCTCTAGTCAAGTGTGTGTTTCTGTCATGTCATTGTTATCGTCTGCCTGCACTATATGAATATATTCCTAACTCCACATTGCACCAACTTTGTGCTGGAGAAGCTGCATTCACAATGGCAGCCACATTTAGTTACTGTCAGCTGTACTTTTATATTACATGCACATAGGTTGACAAAGATTGGTCTCAGCAATTTCAACTGCATATAAGCATGATTTGATATTCTAGCAAGTGACGTTTGCCATTTAATCTTGTGGTACAGCTCCGCTATACTAATGTCTGGCACGGGTCACATTAATTACTCCCTGGATTTCAGCAGTTAGGCTCACTAATGGGTAGAAGACCTAGTTTGTGGTCCCTCTCAATTATGGACCTTGCTTGTCGGATAAACTCTGTTAAATTCTAATCTATTCGTTTTTATTTTTACCCCATTTTAGGTGTACCTAAACAACGAGGCCACGGACGCACCTCAGGCCACGTTCGCTCATCTGCACAAATTCATCCATATTAGATTATCCCTTAGACGGTGTTCTTATACCCACCTCAGGCCACATTAGCTTATTGGCACAACTCAGCCCACACTATATCTATTATACGGTATTTATATACCCGACCACAAATAAATAACAAGATAAATATGATATAATGATTCTGAAAAATTCAATGTTGTGGTAATGGTGATTTTTAAAGCCACTTTGTTGAGCCAGGTGGTGCTTGTCTTGAATTTCAGATAATTCTGCTAGCTTTAGGAAAAGGTGCAGAGGCCAAACCGGTCTACAGACCCAGACAGAAATCATCC